AGAAGAGAGATCAAGGGCTGGACGGTGATGAATCACCGCTAACAATCATGTTCTCTTTTTTCTTATCATTAATATGGAATGTATCAAAGATGTCCATCACGGCTGAGAACCTACTGCTGTGATGCTACGTTTTTGGTAGAGACAGGACTCCCACACTATCGCCGCAATAGTATTCAAAAACCCTTTCGAAAATACCTATGAATAGAATTTTAAACTATCGATGTTAATATGAAACAAATAGATTCATCAAGTCGCTAGGTGGTACACTTCTCGACTCTTGAATCCTGTGCAAATTCATGAAATTTTGCAGTATCTTCCATAAAGCAACTGTTATTACTGTAATACTTTTTAAAAATAAATGTCAATACCGCATGACCATAGATATCTCTGGAATATATGTATTTGAAAACAGTCGATGAATAAAAAACAACGAATTGATTAGTTTATTGGTAACACATTTATTAATAACTATGTATTTTTACTTTGTGGGTGTGGGTATGAATTTACATCCTTATTTCACCGACATTCACACCCTGACCGATTTTTTGCTTGGTTAACCGTAATTAACTGATGACTTTCGATCAGTTTGTGCAATATGGGTAGTCTCTATCCACATCTTTATAAGGAAAATTTTCTCATAATTCAAGCATATCGATGTAATTTAGAAGATACATACAGTTGGATAACTTCTTAGGCTACCTATTTTTCTGTCTATGAGATATGAACAAAACAGATTGTTTTATAAAATTTAATGTAAAATAATCAACCATCACTCGTTTTCATCATTCATATTCAATTGTACAATATACTATTTTGATTCCATCTGATTTATGAAATTGTTTCTTTTTCAGGATATAATATTACTTTCTATAAAAAGACACGTGTCACTGTGGCTCTATGAAGAACCAAAGTGTACAACTCGCAAACTCTGACAGTTATAAATTTATAACAAATTGCTAGAGAGTTTAAAATAATTTATTTGAAAAAAAAAGTCAAACAATTGTGAATAAATCAAAACTATAACAATGAATTGCATTTGTCATGTGCACTGTGAAATTTTAATATTTCGCAAATGTTTGCGTTTAGAATTACTATTCTAATTATTTATTAGATTCATTTAATATCACTATACGGAAAAAAACATATTTCTATTATCAAAATATATCTTCAGCACATGATTTCTTTTTTCCTAATGATAATATTACGATATATGCCATAGAAAGTAGCAAATATCTGGATAGTTCAATTTTTATTTTTTATTTTTTCTAATCTCACGTAAATTTCATTCTCATAAGAATATGATTAGTCTGTGATTAATTACTTTGTTGTGTGACCGACAATATCAAATTCAGGTACAATGCATATACGTCATTGTCGAGCATATTTAACAAGATGTTCAACACGAAAATCTTGACTATCGAATAAATATAAATGAAGAACATTAAGTTTACCTAATTCCATTGCATTTAATATTTGTTAAGTTACGGAAACAGACATTCAATGACCATATACATCAAGCATTAATCCTCACCATGTAAATCGAAATCGATCAATAATATTTAAAAAAGGAGCATAAATTTTCTAGATTATGTATTTTGTTTATTCAATTAAATAAATGTTGATAAAACTCGAATAATACCTACTAATGATAATTTATATAAATATGAATCTCTTTTTGTAATATTAAGTGTATACTCATATCATCAAAATCGCTATTATTCAAATAATATTTACGATGAGATCAAACTTGATCGTAGTAATCGGATCTACGACTGTGAGTATGGACGTGGGTGTCGGTGTGGGTGTGGGTGTGCGGGTGTGGATGTGGGTGTGTGGGTGTGGGTGTGGGTGTGGGTGTGTGGGTGTGAGTGTGAGTGTGGGGGTGTGGGGGTGTGAGGGTGTGTTTGAGAACGAAGGGATAATCAACACCCACACCCACACCCACCCTATTGTTGAGCCATTCTATATTCGCAAATTGGCCTATACATGTGGAAAAGAAAGTGCTGACTCATTATATACGTTACAAGCTATCGTCTTTGCATCTTTTATTGATGCTGCTCGCAGTATTCTTGACAGTTCGAAACATCATCGAATTTATTATCTCTTCATGTCCAATTTAAAGCAAAAGAAAAATAAATGGCTTATATCACATGATTAGATCTTGTATTATCGTGGTAACAAAAGCAAGGCAATGACATTATATTAGCGACTATTTTGCTTTCGTCAATGTGTGCTCGTATAGAAAACGAAGAAAACCTATGGGACAATCCTGTTGATTGGCCATACACAAGGTGAGTGACTCACCAATATTTTTTT